TACTCAATATTACCTGCACCAACATTCTCCGGAGTTTGGGACACGTGCTACCGGCCGTCCACATTCCTGGTCGCTGCGGAGCGTTTCACGCTACTTCCGACAAGTCTTATCGGGCTGGATCCTTATCTTTCCGGGCTGCACGAAACACAAGATGACTAATATCTAGGCTATCAATGAGCAACAGGCCGTGTGACGGGAGTATCGGGGCTCCAGGTCAATATCCTTTGTTCGTAAAGAGCTCAGGAAAAAAGCAACGACGGCAAAATCATCATTTTTTTTCTTACAAATTTCCTTTGAATTCCTCACAAATTGAATACCGTAATACCGTATAATAATGAATGCCAAATGACTACTAGTATATCCCCGACTAAAAAAATATTGAGCTTCTCTACCAAGCCTCAAATACCCAATGCGTAGCCTCTACCAATCTTCAGACGCGGCTGGAAAGAGTAGAAATTGGCTAAACAGACATGATAACATGCCAGGGGAGTTGGTCCGCTAAAGAAGTTATACTAGTACCTTTTGGAGCGGAAAACTGGACTCCTTTAGCGGACCAACTCGCCTCGCATGCTATCGGTCAATTTCTAGTCTTTCCAGCATTTTAAGAAGCCGTGGTAGAGACTTGCTAATACCTGTTGTTTGGAGGTAAACTCTTGAGATTCTCTGAGTGCCAAGCGACACTACTAAACAAATTTGTCGTGCAACACCGTGTACCTATATACCAGCAAGGACTATACCTAGAAGATTGCTATTACAAAGTCAGAAGTAGGGATCTTTTTTTTCTTCTTCAAATGTTGCCCAAGAAACCTTCGCGATTTTCCTCTAAAGTCGTTGAATGTTCAACGTGTTTTTCTTGTAATATAAACGTGTGTTGTTGTTTTTTTTCTGTACGAGAATGACTTTTGATTTATTTTCACCGACACTTGGCGATGTCTCCACGACCTAGTTTTTTGTTCCTTCAAGTCGGCAGTTGGACATTTTCCCACGGCATCAAGTCTTGACGGGCGTACCCTAGGTTTACCCCGGGTCTTCTGAAGGCTTGTCACCGCGTACTTGGCAAGGTCAACATGACACGGAGCCCGACTCAAATTTACCGTGACCTGTTGGTCACAGCACCCGACCCTTGCCGCCGAACCTTGACCGCTAGATGTAACATCACGGAGAGAGTTACACATTTTTGACTTCTTGAAATTAAAGGAGTTCAAATGGCTTGACCTCTTGGCTTGCTGTACCAAAAATGGTATGCACGATTGTATTTCTACCTTATTATGCCCCCCCCCAATAAACAAATAAACATAGATTTTGATTTTGTAACTTAACGACAATTTATGGAAAGTATAAACCAATTTTTTTATTGGCTTGGTCGTTTGTTGAAAACTTCTCTTTTCAGTCGAACACAAATATATACACTTTTCACACATAGTACTAGTCTTAGTCATGTTATATTTATATGTTACATGTATAGATAAAACCATGGACATTATAGCATAGTTTCCCTATTACTAGTACTTACTGTATTTAGCCCCGACGTGGCATGAATATGCAGTAAACTTCATTGTCATTGTCACTGTTATAATAGCGACTTTGAACACCCCGTGAAGCCTGTTGGAGGCTACGTGTTGGCAGTCCCCCCATGGAGCCTGTGTCGCGAGGCTACGTCTCAGTGTCTAGCCCAGGGACAATTGAAGGACAATGTCTGGCGCCCGGTCAGCTTTGAACACTCAAAAGGACTCGTCTGCTGACCGCACATATCTCTGGTCGCCTGGTAAGGGAAGTCATGCAGCCAGGTGCTTATGTAGAAAAGCCTGCGCGGTTAAATATGTCTCTTTGACGTCAATGCGAGCGCACTTTTGTAGAACAAGGAATTGAACCTCCATGTGTAGAATAAGGACCGTCTTCTTTAAATGGAGCACGCAAGGACATGAAATTTCTCCGAAAGTCACAGAGTGTTTTACTAGTGCTGCTAGAAAAATCGGTAAAAAAAATGAAAATCCTACCGGAACACATTTGTATTTTACCTTAGAACGTAACGTACGTTCAGTGTTATTTTTTTCATGACTAAGAAATGATCTAGGTCTGTATAATTAAAGTAGCCAGCCGAATAGCCTCCGTAGCAGGCTTATAGAACTGGGAGTTTGGTGGTCTTCGGCTGTTTTCTGATTAGCCCAGTTCATATATAAAAAGGGGGTAATTCAACCAGGCCGGCTATGCTGTCTATATGCAATCAGAAAATAGCACATAAAAGCTCCCAAAGACCCTGAAGACCCCCCCCCCAAACCCCCTAGTTTTTGGCATTACAATGGAGGCTACCAGCCGAACCATGCCACAGTTTCATGCCACAGTAATGTGGCCATCATATGTCGCTGCGTGATCCCAGCAAGTCTGTCATCATCATAATTTGAGCGGGAAACGATGGCCGACCTTTCGGACGTATCATTTTCCCTACGGCACATTCTTAGAGTGCAACGGTCTATCCCTGTGAACAACACAACACAACAATGTGCAATGTGCAGACCCTACTGTGGAAAATACTTTTCACACGTAACAAATCCGCTGGGCGGCGCTTGTAAATGAAATGGCAAGTCGAAACCTCAAGTTCGTCCACTCAGAAAATGTTCCAAAATCTACCCGCAATCATCTAAACATTCAAACACGCTGCTAAGTATTCACAAAGATATGAAGACATATGCCATATAACCATTGTACTTGTTGTTGTCCTGAACGAGAGTACATGTAGTTGCAATTAACTTGGAAATTGGATCTTTTTTTAGAATTATATAACCGGTAGACATACACTTTTATCAGTCTGTTTTACAAAGATTGACTCCTTAAAATTTACATACAAGATCAGTATTGTATCATGAATTGTTAACACAAAAAACTACTGTGTCCTAAACGTATGCACTCAGCTGAGTAAGTCAGAGATATAACGTTTCGTCCTAAGAAAAGAAATGGTACACATACACACAATAACACATTGTTTACATGAAAAGTTATGATTTAAACACGACATAGCTTGAAATAACACGTTTAATGGCGTTCTCACGGAGGGGTCAGACTCATATAACACTTGTGCGGGGCACACTCTACCTGGAACAATGGCGAGCCAACTCACCTGCCGACCTCAGGTGTTCTCGTTCACCTCAGGTCGCCAAGGAACTGTCACTTGAGCGTATTTTTCCCACGGTTAAGAAACAGAAGCTCCTATATTACTACTGGTGCCGTCGTTGTTTTTCTGTTATATTTATACAGGAGTGCGGTGTATAGTTATCCTCCCTTTGTAAGTGTTTATATTCTTCCTTTCTGTAGTGAAATTGCCACACGGTAGACAAAATACGAAGCAAAGTGGCTAGGTTTAGTGTTGTATTGTGACGTGCAATTTACCATTTACACAAAGGTGGCTTGGATGGCTATCGTTTGGCAGAAAACATATGGTCTAGTCTGTCACGTGCCGCAGGTGAGAGAATGGGGAAGAAGACAGTCTGTCTTTCCCACGAAGAGCCTTATGTTGACTGGGACACACTGAGTGTCACACACACACAGAGATTGTATGTATATAAGGTCTGTTTGCGACATTCTTCGTCTTGACCCTCTCAACTGTTTCTAGGTTAAACAGTCTAATGGGTTCAGAAGTACGATTTCATGCCGTGATAAGCCTGGTATATAACCCTAGCGTTTCCCGGCAAGGTAGTACTAGTAATAAATGCTAGGATTGTTCCCTTTTACCTGGTTGTATAATATAGGGTCCCGGGCTGATTTTACCTGTGTACATTCCCACGATACCATGTTTACCTTCAAAGAAACCATACGTGCCAAGATATGCTTCTTGTGTCGTCTCAAAGAAGGTGCCATCATTCAAAGGAGTTTCTATTCATATTAGCGGCATGAAACATAATTAATACACACTCGCTGACAATAAATATTGCTACGAGATACAGACACCATATACGAGCTGTCTGTTCTTTTTGTAAATTTTGTCAGCGAGGTGGAGTAGAAAATGTTCTCTTTTCTTTCCACAGGTGAAAAACTTTACGGAGAATACCTTTCCGTCTAGTTCCCACGGGGGACTATACCCCAGAAATTGGCACACCGACGTGTAAGGCTACTTGCTGTTTGTTTTCAGATCTGTTGACACTGGGGTGGGATCTGTTTATTGAAAGCGCCAATGTAAGCTTTCAAAGCAGCGCGGGGCAAATTGTTAGTAGGGTGTAACTCTCACACGTCGGTGCCACATCTCGCCAACTAATGAGGAGGTGGTCTCGAAAAATGGCCCTAACCCCGTGGGGTGAATTTTCTCACGCGCTGGCCCGAGCGAACTGCTCAAGTACTGGATCAAAACCCTCGAGTCCCTCTCTGATCCAGGCTTTACTGGTTAGCAAAACACGATTGTAAACATGGTCGCTGGCTTCGCGCTAATGCGGCCTCCTTGGCTTGGATAGGATTTCAGACTCCGTAGCAAGGAAAGTGACCTCGGGTATTTTCCCACTGACTTCACCTCCTCTAGCCGGTGGCATCTCAGCCCCTAAAAGTGTTGCTAAGTATAGCCGCGAGGGAAATAGGCGTAGTTGAGTTGACACGGTTGGCGGGACGATAGTCTTGGCTTCCCGTGCTGGAGTGAGATATCTCCGACTTTTTCGACAACTCTGGCTGTTTTCCCTCCAAATCTTTCCAACAATTTGGCGACTCACGTGCAGGTTGGGGTAGGATAGCCTGTGGTCGGTGCAGGGTTTCCCGTTTTCCCACAGGGGCGGGGATTGACACGCTGCCGTCCCACACAGCTGCCAATCAAACGGGGTCAGGAGAAGTCGTTGTGAGAAAGTTCCCACGGTTCGGCTCATGAATATCGAATTTTGCACCAGTCCTTGTTATCGGAGCGGCTCGGGTTTCTCCTCGGCCAATGGGCGGCGGGAAACTTGTCGGTCTGCCCGATAACCTCGTGGCCTGATTGGAGGAGGCGTATTTGGCGGGGATAAGGTTTTCCCATGGTTTTGTTATGATAATGTTTGAACTTTTCCTGTGCTGCGGTTGAGGCGGAGTGCAGCAGTAGCCAGTGACGGACAGAACCCACCCAGACCAGGCAGCACCGGAGCAGCTCGTATCGCCTGCGGACGGACATTTTCGGCAGCGCAGCGCGGAGACTTAGCAGCGCGGGACGTTCCTCGTTGTGCACACGCAGGAAGGAAGGTTCTTTGCCGGCTTCTAGGGGAAGCTACCGCGGGCGAGATGAGTCAAACCGAACTGGCCATGAGGACCGAGACGGCGCACCACCAGCAGGTTTTTCAGGAGGCGGTGAAGAATGGGGACACGGGGTCCCTCCGCCGCCTGCTCGCCGAGAAGGCCGTCAACGTCAACGTGTTCGACCCCGAGGGGCAGACAGCGCTGCACCAGTCCGTGTTGGACGGCAACCTGGAGCTGGTCAAGCTGCTTGTAAAGTTCGGCGCGGACGTTAGACTAGCGAACCGGGACGGTTGGAGTGCGCTGCACATAGCGGCGTACGGTGGCCATAAAGACATTGTTCTGTACCTTATAATGTCTGCTAGGGAAAGCAGTGGCAAGCGGTAGCAGGGCCGGGGTTCGAACCCTGGATCTTTTTAACCTGAACCTGTGGACGTTATGCTGCTGCAATTTAGATAGGAGTTCTAAGACTACATGAGATATGAAACGTTACTTTATGTGCAGTGGAAATATGGAGTAAAAGACAAGAAGAAGAAGGCACGAGACGGTGGAAGAAGTCGGAAGAGTTCGCAGTAGGCACAAGAAAAAAATGCAACAGAAAACTTTCGACTTCAGTTCAACTCCTCTCCCGAGCGGTCTACCGAGACTTACAAGCGTTCGTCGGCGGTCGAAAGTCGCAATAATGACGGGAATCGAACCCAGGGGCCTTGGTACGACATTTTTCCTCAGGACCTGTGGACTGCGGAGGGACCGGGTGTGGGTAGGAGGAGTGTTTGTTATTTGGACGCAATGCTGCATTTTTGATTTGTTAGTAGTCGGACAGAGACGATGTGTTTTTCAGTTGGAACGAATGAGTTGCTAGTCGATAGAGATGGCTACAGAAGTGTGATTGCGACCGTCTTTCTACCTCCAAGCTGCAATGTTCATGTTTTAATGAAAAAAAGTGGAACCCATGACTCGCGTCAACGGGGCTGTGCCGTTCCAATCTGTCGCTTCTTTTTTTTTGTAACCCTCGCCCCCCTCCCCCTTCCTTTTGTCGTTGTGGGATTCGAAAATTGGATTTTTTTTCTGTGAGAAAGAGTTGCTGAAAAAGGCGTAACGCTGGGGCATACCGGAAGACGTTCTGGTAGAGTTGTCTGCAGTGCTCCACGCTACACGGTACGACAGTTAGTCTTTGCCCGTGTTGTGTATCAGTGCCAGTAAACACTGAGGAATGCAACACTCCGGTTTCTCACGCCAGAGCGCTGCTCTCAGGGGCCGGCGGGAGCCTCAAGAAAACAGAAGATCTCGCCAAACAAGCTCGCCCCCGGGACACCTCACAAGGACTCTCCCCTCTCAACAACCGCACAAACTACTACAAAGAACCACCGGTAGAAGACTTCAACTATATATCGCTGGAAATTCGTCGCGGATTTCTCCTGCGCGGAAAGATGACCACTGTTACCGAACAAAGCCACACTCACACAACGGTTTGCCCCCCTTTCAGGCAAAGGGGCTTTCCGCACAGATGGAATAAGAATGCTGTCGATTTGAATATAGAACGCCATTCAGAGCTAGCGTCCTGCCGTTTTCTCTCGACACATGCTGAAGGATTGGAGGACTTCAAACTGCCGAGTATGGAATCCTGTTTCAAGAAATACCACAGTACGTAGCAACAACGGTACAGACATCACCTTAGCAGGAATTCGTAGGATTTTTGTCAAGTATTTTAGAGTGCAACAACCAATGCATAAGGACAGAACACATATGGACTTGCTGAATACACAGGAAGGATGCGAAAAATGGACGACCCACACAACTCCCGTTGGCGCGCGTTTAAATCCAGAACTGTAAGTGATTTAGCAGATTCACAACTTTGTATAATATGTTCTCATACCTATGATATATACGTGCCACGCACGACCATTTTTCCCGGTCAAAGTCAACCATTTTGTGTCAACTATGCTAACGTTTAGTAAAAAAACACAACAGTAATATGAAAACAAGTGGTTTTTGTAGGTAGATTATTATCTGTTGACGCTAAAATTGTGGACTTGTTTCGGCGAAAATGTCCCGAGCATGTGAAAAATTATGTCGGTCTTACTGCGAGGACTGTTCTTGATTATGAAGATACTGCCATGCCATACGTGTGTGCACCGGGCCTGGTCCACAGGGACTATATTGTTTCCCATCTTGATATGTAAATACCCGTGCCTTTCTAGACGTTCTCTACTATTAATATGACCACCTTGGCTTTTGTTCAAGTACCCGAGTGGTTTCCATTACCCCTTTGTAGGAACATTCCGAAGATATAGTTACAAAATCTGCCCATAACTCATAGGGACGTTTTGAAAGAAAAAAAATGTGTACATGACTCCAGAACAAAGGGGTGGCACTCACCAAGTATATTTGTGTAGGGTAGTTTTTAAAACCGGGTAAGGCGAAACCACTCCAGTTTTTGACAAAGCCAACACTTGGGAAACAACCCATACCCTCCTGGACATAGACAGGCCACACTACAGGGCTGTTTACCGTATAACGTTACACAGAGATGACTGGAGATGAAAAAAATGTCAATAATTATGGGGAATAGGGTATTTAAGAAATATTATAACGCCTATATAAATACATATCACCTATAATTTTGAACAAAGTAATTTTATATGAATAGAGAGTTCCACAGATGTCAAACCGACGAACGAGTATGGCCAAAAGAAATTAAAAACCCGTTCCTCGTCAAGCTGAATTGTGGTTTCCAATCTCTTGTCTCAATTGTTTTGCTTATGATCTGTGTTCTATACATCCATACGTTCTTCGTACAAACTGGTATCCGTATAAAAGATATCCCGATACGCCGGAGTTTCTGTAGAACATTTGATGATTAATGATCAATTTAGTGTTGACCCACATACACATAAAGTACTAGTTATCATTTTGCCCAAGTCACAACAAGCGGCCGCTGAATCAGCACACAAATAATTTACTACTTTCATTTTATTGACCTATCTCCAAGCAGATGTTGGTGTACACGGTCGTAAGGTTTTCTGATGTTTTTAGCTCTTCCCTAGTCAAAAATAACAGTATTCAGTAGATTATAGACTGTTTTACCCCCCGTATCTGCTTGGAGATTAATACTGGCTTCTCCATATCTGCTTGGAGATGATGGCTCGCCCAACCCTAGCTGTTGTTGTTCCCGTGTTTGTAACGAAGTTTGAGAAGACCATTGTGTTGTTGTATTTTGTGACGGTTTCCCCTTGCTGACCTCCCTCACCCCAGCCCCCCCAAGGGACCACCTTGTCAATCTCAACCATGCTGACCTTCTTCCACAAAAGTTGACAAACGTTAGCCTCACATATCTCATGTTTAGACTAGGGCAGACAGACGTACAGGCACTTATAAACGTCTCGTGGTTTCATATTCTGCTCTAAAACATTAGTTTTAATATTTTAGCCGGTAAAGCTAAGAAGGAACATTTTTAAAGACCCAGTGCCCTACCGGAGTACACCTAGCGAGGCCTCCCTACATTAAATGCATGACTACGCCAACAGAATAGAGCTCACCCCGGCAAAGGCACTGGTATGCCAGGTGGTCCAGAGTCCACAAAAGAACTTGCCCTCTTCTAGCAGCGCAGGTATCTCCCGGTTTAAATCACCAAACTTGCCATCCAACGTTGAAAAACTGTAGGTCCTTAGCCGTGCTTTTAGTTACAGGTCACGCATATGTTGCCTCCTAGTCTCCCGTTATCTATTCTTCGGTACACCTTATAATGTCGAAGAAGAACATTTATGCACATTTCTGGAAGGTTTTATATGTTCTATTTTCCACAGAGGCAGTTTTGAAATCTCTACACGCCATACTCGAGAAGTCCAAACACTCTTAGGACCATTACATATCCCCAACGGCCCCCTAAATAAACTCACCTCGCAACTTTCTAAACCCACTCAAATCCCCGCCCCAAATACTTGGCCAGAGCCAGCCCGAGTCCCTCGCTACGGGTCACAGTAGACCATGAGATAAAATGTGTCATCCCTACAGTACACTAGTCCTTGGTTGGCATCTGGTAGTTTTAAACCTAATGGAATAGCGCGGATTTATAGGAGGGTATGGGGAAAAGAACGCGTGGTAGCGACTGCTTAGAATACCGCAAGTCCCCCTGCGCTATCTGCACACATTATTAACTCTTCCACGCTAAACTTAAAATGTCAACCAAGCGAGCTGGCTGTCAATACCCGGCTGTCAATCGCAGGAGATACCGTTGTTTATTGTAGATATGCTGTCCACTGTACACACTGCACACAATCCGTGCTACAGATCATTGTTCTCCCCACTGAAAGCGCTCTTTGTTCGGGGCTAGAAGTCCCTCCAGAAACTAGACTGAAAGGTTGGGGTTGGGGGGTTCAACCTAACCCTTCAGGTACCTCTTGAAGTATTCTCCTACCTATTCAGTATCTTAGACAACGGCCGACACTTCAAAACATCCATATAGAGCGATAAAGACGCCTCTTTTAATGCACTTTACGTTTGATAAACTTGTATGCAGAGCTTAACAGTTTAAGTCGTGCTTATGTACTTGGTTTAGCAGCCAAAAAATGAAGTATTCAACGGGCTAGTTTAGAGATGTAAGTACCCCCCCCCCAACACACACTAAAAAACATGACTTTTTATGATATACCTGTAATATGGAGATATGAAAGATTGAATGCTGTTTTTGTGTGTTCCAGTGCCCCCACCGTTAACAGTACCATATTCACGTTGAGTGAGTGGATGTCAAGGTCACAAAGCGAGGGGTCTCACGGCTACTGTGTTGAAAGGTTGCAAGGTTCTCCCGTTTCTGTAACGGGACACCAAACACTAAAGGCACGAAGGCGCTCATCATATATATTTACACATCATCAAGGGCTCAAAATTCCTACCGCTAAACCATACAAATATAGTCCAAAACGCGGCATGGACGTTTGTAACGTTATATATCTATGTGTATTAATTCCAGCGATTAAAACACTATCGTAAGCGTGGGGAATTCCGCTATATTGCACGTTCGCGCGTTTGGTGTTATTTTGTAGCTTTAATAAATCCAGATAAGTTGACGTTTAGGGTCAAGAGAGGCAGGAAACGGTGTCTATCGAAGAATTAGCGCTCAAGTTCAAAGCTTTGATGTTTCGCCCCGATCCATAGTCGTCCCGGAAGTGTTGAATTTCAGAGTTATTGGAACTATTTATCACTTAGGACCGGTTTGGTGCTATCCAAAATTTTATACTTTTGTAGCAACAGGATCATATGAAAATGTAAAAAAAATTGACTTGTCTTCTAGAAATATTTAAAGCAATTGCAGCTATGGTGCACTTAACTTGAATGTGTCCACAGCTAGATCGATAATACGAAGAATTATTTGATTTTTCTTGGAAGAGAACATTCCTTGAAAAAAACTAATGGTCGAAAGTAAGAGAACTAATTTAAGTCTATCTCAGGTCTTAAGGCGTGCAATGGAATTTCAGGGACGTGGCAAAACTGGATTTTCAACGTCGATTTTCTAGTACAGTACATGTAATTCTGAATGTAGTAAGTTGTATAAACCCATCCCATAGCATAGAGATATATGTGAGGCAAAAAAAATGTGTGTAGCTGACGTAAAACGGTTGCTTCATTGTTTCGTATCGAAGGCAGGTTTTCGCTATCTATTGGTAGTACCAAGAACCTAGTGGTACCAAAAAGGCACAGCTCTGTTGTACATGTAAGTCAGTTTTGACAACTGTTCATTGGTTGGCAGTGATAGGTGTGTCCTCTTTACCTGCTTGTGATGTCTTGCCCTTAGTTTGGTGGGTCTACTATAAGTTTAGGGGTGCCAGAGTATACAGTGCAATTTTACGGAATACAGTGCAATTTTACGGAATACAGTACAATCGTATTAGTATACAGTGAAATTCTACGAAAAATTGCACTGTATACTAGTAAAATTGCACTGTGTACTAATACGATTGCACTGTATTCCGTAAAATTGCACTGTATACTAATACCGTTGTACTGTATTCCGTAAAATTGCACTGTATACCAGTAAAATTGCACTGTATAATACTATTCCGTAAATTTTTTACTGTATTCCGTAAAATTGCATTGTATACTCTGGCACCCCTGAAGTTCCCACTGCCAAGAAAGTCGGGCAGATTTTTAGCCTGGTATCCAGCCTTGTTAGCTTTAGTCCGCTACCCAAGATCCGCTCCCCGCCAGCGGACGAAAGCTAACAAGGTTGGATACCAGGCTAGCAGATTTTGGGGGGTTACTTGAAACCTCGGTGTGTGTGTGCGTGTAGTCCAAACGGCACTAACGATGATACCCTGGCTTGCCACAACCGCACGTTTCATTGCCATAGTTTCTTCGGCATGAGAAACGTTCTCATTCCCACGGGAAAATACACTTAGGACAGCCTCGTAACTGTACTCAAATGAGCTTTACTAGTAGTAGTCGATGTTTCATCACAAGTATCTATTTTAAATCATAGGACAGCACCTCCATTATGTATTGTCTTGGTAGCTTTATTTCCTGCTCTAGAAGAGAGATTGTAGCGTCTCTGTCATCGTAAGAAGGATTTTAAGATGTCTTAGGAGAGACTCAAGTTATTTCTGTACAGACAGTGTTTTCTTACGCTCCGTTGCCAACGGATTCTCCTTCCATTTCCAAGTAACCTCCCCTCTCTAAACCCGTCCGTGGCACGCAGCCAGCTTTTATTCCCACAGCGCCGCCTAGAGACGGAAGAAGACCACTGCAGGGCTCGGCTTACGCTCCCGGCGGGCCGTGTTTACCATAGCAACGGTCGACCAGCAAGCCGCCAGTTCTGACTGCCTTCCGCTGACGAGAGCTTTCACCGGCTCGTAACTCAAGCTTGGTTTCGTTTGGGCGCCAAGGTGATGCTTTTTCTGATGGCGCAGCGCCAAGTTTTGGCTAGTCAGGGTTAAGGACGAGAGGCAAAGTAGAAAGAACAGGGTAGAG